TTTTTACTTGTAGGAAGAACAACCTCAGCCTAGAGATGCATGTGCTGTTTTAGAATTGCTGAGGAATAAAACTGTTGCTGCTGAATCTATTCCTATTCCTATTGATTCTATTCCTTTGGAGTCTCCTACTGCTGCTACTGGTGACATTATTCTAATAGATAAAACTCCTGCTCCTCCTAGTATTGATGATGATGAGTTTATAGTATCAGAAAAACAGCCTCCCAAAACACACATTGAGTTAATTGATGTTGATAGAATTCCTAGTCCTACAGATTTTCCTGGTGAATCTACTATGATACCAGCTGATAAATATTCTGGAAAAAGGGAGAAGAGAATTCATGAATTAAGACAAAGGCAGGAGGAGAGATTGGTAGCAGCTGGTGGTTTAGATTGGGATCTACCACCTATTCACAAGATTCAAATTCAAAATAAAGACAAGATTGTGTGTAGGAATTTGCAAGAAAACAAGCCTTTGTATCTAAAAAGATTGACTGAACATGAATTATACATGTGTGATTACTTGTTTTTTATGCACTATTTTGAGCAGCTTGAGTTAGATCCTACTAGTGAAGATGAGGGAGTTAAGAGGCGTAACAACAGTCTTTACGTAGAAGATATAGGTACTGTTATCTGTCAGTTTCTCACTGAAGATCCTGAACAGAGTGATCTTATTTTGGTAAAGGAGGAGTTCTGTTCCCTACGTCCGTCTGAGTGGGTTAATTCTGCTATTCATGATACTTGGGCTACTGTGCTCAACATTGAAGAGAGTAAAATAACTGACAGAGGAGTTTTTCAATATAAAAGATTTGTTTTTCAAACTGAAGTTGCTGTAAGTTTTTTTTTTCTTTCTTTACTTCATTCAGAAATAAATTTTATTTATAATATACTGTATTTAATATATTTTTTTGTTTTGCAGAATCTTACATGGAGATACTTAGAAAAAAGGGCAATTTACAGAAAAGAAGTTGCTAACATAAAGAAAAAGGAGGCAATTTTGAAAACTTTGAAAAATAACCCAGTAGAATAATAAGTGTAAAGAGGAATTGGTAAAAATGGAGATGGATTGTCAATTGAATATGCATAAAGGTGAGGACATTTATGATAGCATTTGCAAGTGGGTTAAGCGTTTTCCTTCATTCAACATAGCCGAAGCCGATTTGGTAAATTTTTAACTTTATTTCTTCTTTGTATATTGTATATTCAGGAATAAGCTAAACCTAGTATGATACAAGCTTTTATTAGTCAGATTTTATATTATTTTAAATCAGGAATTATATTACTTTAATCAGGAAATAATTTATTTATGTTAGTAATTAAACTGTGTTAGTCAGGAAAAAAATTGTATAGTAAGGAATTAAATTGTTTTAGTCAGGAATAATATTGTTTTAGCCAGGAATAAAATTGTTTTAGTCAGGAAAAAAATTGTGTTAGTCAGTAATAAAATTCTGTAAGTCAGGAATATAAATGTTTTACTCAGATATTATGATCTTTTAATCTGATATTTGCTTCTTTTAGTCAGTTAATAAATGTGTTACTTATTGTGAAAATTATGTTTTATTTATTTTGCAACTATTCTTTCCCATTGTGTTCGATAATCATCATACTCTGCTGGTTTTCAATTTCATTGATGGTATTGCTCCAAGAATAGATTGGATAAATAACAGGACTGATATTGATCGAGATAAATTAAATGGAATAGACAGAGTGCTGGTAAGATAATTTTAAATTAAATTTGTGAAAATTATACTTTTAGATGCTTTTAAATTTTATAATTTATATATTTATAATTACAGATTAGAGCTGTTGGTATTTTTTTGAAAAAGCATGAACATCGACATGGTGACACAAATTTGGAACAATTGGAATGGCATGAACCTAAGTTTACATGGCAAACAAGCCATGAAAATGAGGATTGTGGCCTTTTTACATTAATGTGTATGAAAAATTACAATGGTATAGCTGGAGGTCTTGTCGACTTGAAATATGTAAGTATTTTTTCTCCTTTGGATTTTTACCTATTGTTTTTTAGTGTTGTTATTTTGTTTTTTATATAAATTTGTAGAAGCAAAATCGAAAGATATATAGATGCCAACTTGCTTATCAGATGGCTACTAGAGAAGAGAATTTTTTGCGGAAGAAATTGTGGAATGATTGCATTGAGTTTTCAATTAACAAGCACAAAATTTGGAAAGCTCAACCTGCAAGAAAGAAGCTAGAGGCCCAATATGAGAAAGCAAAGGAAGCCATTCAAAAGGAAAAAGAGAGGCAGTGGAAGTTGATGCAAAAACAACTAGAAAAAGAGCAGCAGCAATTGGAAATTGATCAACAACTTCAGCAAAATGAAGAGGAAGATTAGATTTTTTTTTTAAACAATTAATCATACATGTACATATATTTTTTTTTTTGTAGTTAGGCATTAGTTTTCTTTTGTATAGATACTTATAAATTTGGTTTATATATGTATATATTTTCTATTAAATCCGTTTTCTATTAATCATACATCTATATATTAGTCAGATATTAAAATACTTGTGTCAGAAATTAATATCAAATGTTAATTTTAAAATTTTTAAATATCAAACTTAAAATGAAGAATATGTTTGTCATAAATTAAATTACTCTTCTCAGGAATTATTTTATTTATGTTAGCAATTAAATTCTTTTGGTGAAGAATAAAATTTTGTTAGTCAGGAATAAACTTGAGTTAGTCAGGAATAAACTTCATTTAGACAGGAATAAACTTGAGTTAGTCAGGAATAAACTTGAGTTAATCAGGAATAAGATTTTTTAAATCAGGAATAGAGTTGAGTCAGTCAGGAATAAACTTGAGTTAGTCAGGAATAAGATTTTTAAAGTCAGGAATGATACTGTGTTAGTCAATAATACAATTAGTTTACTTAAGAATAAGATTCTAGAAGTCAAGAATTAACTCAGGAATTAAAACTCGGTTATCAGAAATTAAAATGTAATAGTCAGTAATAAAATTGAGTTATCAGAAATTAAATCAGGCATGAAATTGTGTAAATTAGGATTAAAGTTAGTTTAGTCAGGAATAAAATTTTGGATGTCAGGAATAAACTTCAGTTACTCAGCAATAAGACTTTTAAAGTCAGTAATAAAGTAAGGTTAGTCAGGAATAACATTGATCTAATCAGAAAATAAAATAATTTTTTTCAGAAGTTATCAAACCTCAAAATGCCAAAATATAGTATTATTTACAATTATCTTGAATAATAAAATAAAAAATTTGAAGATTGGCTTTATGATAGAAGAATGCAGCAATAGGGATGAATTAAATGAGTTGTGGATTAGGAGTTATTGTTCCAAACTCATTTGGATCTCTTGTTGCTGTTCTTCTTCTTTCAAAATGTCCTCTAATTCTTTTGTTCTTCTTTGGCCTTCCCTTTATTTTTGGTTGTTTTGGATCTTTTACTGTATTTCTTCTTTCTTCTTCTTCATCAAGTTCACGAATTTTTTCTTCATTTGTTTGGAACACTTTCCTTACAGATTTGTACATTTGTTCCAAAGCATCATCACATATTTTTGATGCTTCTTCATTCCCTTGACATATTGTCACAAGGTTGTAAAAATTCTTTGTTATTGATTGTCTCCAAGGAGTGTTTATTAATGAATGATCTGTGGTTGAATTTCCTAATAAAAAAAAAAAAAAAGATTACTACATTTTTGTTAGTAATAAGGCAATTTTACTCAGAAAAGAATGCAGCTCATGAATAATGATAAAATTTTTTGCTTCAATAATATTATAATATCAGAAATAAAATTATTTATATCATGAATAATGTAAGAAAAGTCAGCAACGAGCTATGCCATAATATTTTTATTTTCTGTTTCAGCCATAAATTTTCTGACAAAATTGATTTAAAGGCTGTTATCAATTTTAAAAGGTTGTTATCAAAAGTAATTACAGATTAATTATTACTGTTCATACATAACTCTTTTCTATTTAAAGGCTGTTCTAAATTAAGTTTTTTCTATTAAAAGAGTTATATTATACAACCTCCATTGTGTTCTATAAAAGGTGCATTCATGTAAAAATAACTTATATTTTTCTTCATCTAATCAATCATCAAAATAATGGTTGATTTCTACGCAAATAAGGAGAAGTGTACTATTATTGTTAAACCAGTTGATCGCATTAGTATGGTAAATATATTACATTAAGTTTTAAATTTATAAATTTGTTTTGTGTTTTAGTAAAGATTAAATGATATCATTTTTTTTTCTTTCAGGGTCTTCCTGAAGATTGGAAGCTTTTTCTTCTGAAATTCAAGAACTTTGTTAGAGTCTTTGCTAGGAAGAATGGCAGAGAAGATAGATTTTGGGAAGTAAGAGTCATAAGCATACCAGAAAATACAGGTTGTGGTGGTATGTTGATTGATCGTGAATGGGAAAACTTTGTAGCTGCGAACAACATAGTTGTTGGAGACAAACTTGATGTTTACCATGATCATTATAACATTTATATTAGAATTTTTAATGCTGATGGTACTGAAAGGCTTCCTAATGAAGCAGGAAGTGGTACCAATGTATAAGTTTTTAAATATTTATATAATTTTATGTTTGTAATAAATCTGATTTTATATCAGAAATAATAAAATATATATCAGATATTATAATATTTTGTTCATGAATAAGATTATTGGTATAACATTATATTATGTTGTTCAGTGTTCGTTATGTTCAGGAATTAGATTATTTTTTTCATTTATTAGATTTGTTTTGTCAGGAATTAAATTTTGTGTGTCAGGTATTAAAATTTTTTGATTACATAGGAATTAGATTGTTTCAGGAATAAAAATGTTTCAATCAGAAATTAGTTATTATAAATTAAAAAGGATTAGGAATAAGATAAAGTTTGTCATCTTTAAGATTTCTTTGGTCAGGAATCAAAATATGTATGACAGGTATTTTAAATTTTATTCAGGAATTAATTTAAATATATCAGGAATTAAATTGTACGCTTCAGGAATAAACTTGTTTCAATCAGAAATAATATTATCTTTTTCATGTATTATATTTTTCACATCAGACATTAAGTTTTCATCTATGTCAGCAAATTATTTATGACAGTAATTAAAATGTTTATCTCAGGAATAAAGATATTTTTTTATACTAAATAAACAAGTAATAAATTTTAAAATAACAAAGTATGTACGTACTTGATTCACTGCCATCCCAAATGTTTGATTTAGCAAGCTTGGTCCAACGTTTCAGAATGTATCTCTCTGAAATAGCATGTATGCTGTACATTTGCATTATCTTGATAATGTGAAAGCACAGCAATCCAGTCTCTGTGAAGCACATACAAGAACACATAAACTCATTGTTTTGAGTGTAATATATGACTTGATAGGTGTGCATATAATCTTCATCAAGAGAAACATCAAAGAATTTGACATATTGCATTGAAGTGGCTTTTTCTCTTGCATATGCTCCAAGACTTGTTTCAAATTCCAGCTTAAAATCCTTGTATAAGTTTAGAGTATAAACTTCAGCTGCATGTTTTAATATCTTTGTTGTTGTTCTTGGTCTCTCAGTAGTACATCTGAAGTTGTCACTCTTTTCAGTGCTTCTCCATCTTTTCACAGTAGCCTCAAAAATGTGAAAGAACTCCAAAAGCTTTGTGGTTTTGTTGGCCTTAAATGAAATTGCTCTGTTTGTTACTTCTACCCTTTGAGATGAAAGAATTCCAGCTGAGAAAATATCCTTGCTCAATGTTGTGCACCATTTATCTCGTAGACCGTATAACCTATCAAACCATTCTTTTTTCTCTAGCCCATGTTTTTGAACCATCTTGTGCCAACAATCTTCAAAGTCAGATTCAGAATCACATCCACTTAAGCATTTGTGAAACATATTTTTGAATTCAGGATTGGTTTTTAGAGTTCCAAAGTGTGACACAAAATTCTTTTGCAAATGCCATAGACATAGCCTATGTCTTGAGTTTGGATAAACCTGCAACAAAAATTAAATCACTGGAGTCAGAAATATGACTATTATAATCAGAAATTAAAAACATTTAGTCAAGAATTACATAAATTATGTAAGACATTTGTATATTTTTACTCAGGCATAACAATATTAGAGTTAGAAATTAGCATATTTTAGTCAGATAATAGAAAATTTAAATCAGGTATAAATATCTTTAGGTCAGTAATTAAATATTTTTAGACTTTTTATTTAAACTTATTTTTAAAATCAACATATTTTTCAGATTATCAGTCAAATTAATCTTCCACTGTAATTCTGCCATTTGGGTCCCAATAAACGGCTAAAAAACAGTAACTTTTTTCCTTTTATAAATCATTTCCTTTCTAATTCAACTTTGCATCTCAACTTCAATCTCTTTATATATTACACATATTTGAGCTAAATTGTAACTGTACAAGCAACAAAGGAAAACTTATTCTTGAGTTTTATAAATCACTCATTACGTTTCAGATGACCCTGGTTTTTTGGCTGACTGTATCATTGAGTACAGGATGAAGAAAAATGGGACTTGGCCACCCCCTGGTTATCCTCATTATGGTGCCCAACCACCACAGTGAACAGGTCTGTATGCCTAAAATGTGAATAACTTATGTTTGTTGAAATATTGTTGCATAAACTAACATCTATTATATGTTATTGTAGGTTACAAGGTGTCTTGGAATAAGTCATCACCCACAAACAAGAAGAAATGCATATCAGGAATATAATTATTTTAATCAGGAATTAGCATATTTTGGTCTGATTTTAGATGAATTATGAAAGGTATTAGTATATTTTGGTCAGGAATTAATAGTCTTAGTGTTCACTTGGAGTTTTGAATAAGGACTAAAAAAATGTAATAATCAGAATTGTACTTGAGGTACTGGATAAGGACCAAAACAATGTAATAATAATAAAAAGGAATATATTTAAAAATTATCTTTTTTTTTAATATTTTTTATCTGTCTATAAAAGTATTATTTACTTAACATTTTGCATGTTTTTGTACTTTGGTATATTCTCTCTCCTAAAACAAACTTTTTTTCAATATTCCTCAAAAATGCAAAACAATTCTCAGTCTTCTACTTCATCAAACGATCCTCAATATTTCTCAAATATGCAAAACAATTCTCAGTCTTCTACCTCATCAAACGATCCAGAAGAAAATGCAATTGATAACTTTGAAAAAAAATTAAATGATCTGTTGGATAGAAGAGATAGAGTGAAGAATGGATTGATGAGGCTCTATGAAAAAGTTGAAAAGAATGAAATCGAAGAACTAAGCAAGAGAAAGAGAGCACAAGAGATATGGCAGGAAACACAGAACAAAAAGCAGAAAGAAGAAGATCAACACAAGAAGGAAGAGAAAGAACAAACAGAAGATCAAAAGAAAAAACAAGTTTAATATCTGAGGAAGAACAACAAGAAGATTATGATTTTAGGGTTTTTTTCTTTATCTTTTTTTTCCTGTTAATTTCTAGTCACAATCAATATCATTAAAATATATGGAAAATATGATATGCTTTTATGTTTATGTTTCTGTATTTCCTGTTTTTATTATCAAAAGATTTATTCAGATATGGTTTAAAATGATATGGTTTTGTTGGTTTTTATTCATATATTGATCTTTTTTTTTTAGTATTAATAATTTTTCGTCAGGAATTATATTATTTTAATCAGGAATTTTATTAATTTGTTATATATTCAATATTTATTTCAGAAATAAAATAAATTATCACAATCAGAAATAAGAATATTTTACTCAGTAATTATAACATTTTGCTCAGAAATAAACTTGAAATGAAATTATCACAATCAGAATTAAGAATATTTTACTCAGTAATTATAACATTTTGCTCAAAAATAAACTTGAAATGAAATTAAATAAATTTGAATTAGTAATGACTTAATTTCGATCAGGTATTAGAAAACTTATATCAGGATTAAGGATCTTGCTATCATGAATAAGATTCTGTCAATCAATATTAAATATTTGAACTTATTAATATATCTTAGTCAGGTATTGCCTTTATTTTATCAGAATTAATATATTTTTGATCAGGAATTATATTACATTAAATTATGAACATGAAACATATATTATTAGTCAAGAATTAAACAGATATTTATCAGGAATTATATAATTTCTGTCAGGTATTGATCTGTTTTTATCAGTTATTAAGTTATTCTAATCCAGAAACAATATATTATGAAGACAAAAATTCTTACCTCTGGTATGGCGTTACTCATTGCAAGATCCTGATCAGTGAAGATTGATTTTGGTTCGATTCCACACATCGACTTTTTGAAAATTTTAAAAAGCCAAACAAATGTGTCAGTCCTTTCGTCACTTATGAATGCACATCCAAACATTGTTGTTCTCCAATGACAGTTTATACCAACAAATGGTGCACATATCAACCCATATTTGTTTGTTCTGTATGTTGTATCGAAGATTAAAACATCACCATAGGCTTTGAAATCTTCAAGCATTTGAGAATCACGCCAAAAATAGCTCACTACATTGTTTTCTTCTCCAAATTTCAGTCTATAAAAGAATGAAGGATCATTATCTGCTCTCTCTTGAAGGGTATCTAATACATTCTGCATGTCTCCACCTTCAACCATACTCATTTTCACCCTTGATACATAGTTAAGGTGGTCTCTCTTAGTATGACCTACACATTCTTCTCCTCCAGCTTCATTGGTGATATAATTGTAAGCATCCATTGGTTTGATACCACTTTCAACCATGCTTTCAATTAGTTCACCCATTGGTGCTGATATTTGCCTTTCTGATCTTAGATGATGACGTTGAACTGCTATAACCAATTCATGATTATGCTCCAACTCATGTGTAACAGCTTCGAAACTTCCTTCTTTGGTTTTCTTGAAACGAATATGAGCTTTGCATCCAGTTCTTGTCTCATTTACCTCCCTATCTTTTCTCTTTTTTTCATCAGTTTTACCCAACATGGGTATTTCCACTGAATTTTGTTCACCTTCCATCTTCATTTTACCCTTTGTATGCCCTTCTTTAGAACATCTAAAATAAAACTCATACAATTTATCATTATTATCTCTTCTCTTTGTTGATTTTCTGACACTGAAACCAACAGACTTTGAATGAGCTTTGTATAAAACAAATCCCTCATTGTAGTCTGATACAGTATAACCTGCTAGACATTTACTTATGTTTTCATCCTTGTCATATTTGTAATAATCTCCAAGAAAAGTATATATGAAACATATCATAATTTATTTTTGTCAGGAAATAAAATATTATACACAGTAAATAAATATTCTTTAAATTTATGATACTTTAGAATTATCATGTCTTAGTCAGGAATTACATTATTTAAATCAGGAATTACCAAATACTAGTCAGGAAATAAGTAATCTCAGTCAGGTTTAGGTTTATGTTCAATCAGGAAATAGATAATATCAGTCAGAAATAATAATAATGTATCTGATTATAATATGTTGTTGATTATTTTTTCAGGAATTAGATTATTTATGTCACTTATTAGTTTTGTTTTGTCAGGAATTAAATTTTGTATGTCAGGTATTAAAAATTTTTGATTAGGAATTAATTTGAATATATCAGGAATTAGATTGTATATTTCAGGAATAAAATTGTTTCAATCAGAAATTAAATTGAAACAATTTTATTAATTTAATTTCAGTAACAAAAAATAGTCAAAATATCAAAAAATTGTTCGAATCGGAAATTAGATTATTATAATCAGGAATAAAGTTATATTAGTCAAGAAAATACATAATAAATTACTCAGGACTTAAATGATAAATATACAAAAATTAGAATATATCAGGAATTAAAATGTAAATTTCAGGAATAAAATTGTTTCAATCAGAAATTAAATTGAAACAATTTTAATAATCTAATTTCAGTAACAAAAAATAGTCAAAATATTATTCGAATTAGAAATTAGATTATAATAGTCAGGAATAAAGTTATATTAGTCAGGAAAATAGATAATAAATTACTTAGGACATAAATGATATGGTCAGGTTTAAGATAAATATAGTCAGGAAATTAGAATTTAATAACTCATGACCTTCCCTCTTCCCTTTTCAAAAAACACGTAAAATCATTTACCAGACATAAAATTAATTGAATAAAATGAAATGAATTTACTAGAAAAGAGGTTAATTATAAATGAAAAGACATATTTGAAAAGGCATGACCCTCCCTCTTCCAAAACACTGCATCTATTCACATTCTAAACATTATATATAAGTAACTATATTGTCAACAAACTATATTCAGAAAAAGAAAAAAAAATCCATATAAACTGCTTCAGTTAGAAATTTTAATTAATCTTATAAGAATATAACTACTGTTATTACAAAAGGTATATTTTTTTCGTATTATGATTATACCTTTGTTAGTGTTGTTTTATTGAGTTTTGTTATGATTTATGTTTTCATTTTGTTTTGTTTAGATGGCTAATCAAATCCCACACCCAATTGACGCCTTAGAAGATGCACATCCAGCAATGGCTGTTGAAGAAATATTATGCATGCACATTTTCCCTAGGTGCACATTCAAAGCCCAGGAGATGATTAACTGTACATGTAAATATTATAATGAATTATGGTATTATAAATATTGGATTCCAGAAACAGTAAGAAGAAATCATAATTCAAATGAATGGTGGGTTGCATATGACATTATGTGGCATAATGGTTATGGATTTCATAATGGCATGGTGCAAGACTGGGCTGAATTTCTGAATGGATTACGTTTAGTTTTTGCTGAAGAAGAAGCCAACAAATTAAAGAGAAAAAGAGAAGAAGCAAATCATCCATGCAGAGAGGCAAAAAGAATTAAAATTGAGGAAGATTATCTTTGTAGCTTATTTTCAATGTTTTGTACTTTATCATAATTAAATAACATTTCATTAATATGTAATTTGGAAATTTAGTTTATGTATTTTATTTTTGAAAATTTAGTTGATGTTATTTTATTTTCGGAAATTTGGTTGATGTTATTTTATTTTTGGAAATTTGGTTGATGTTATTTTATTTTTTGTTTTAGTTGATGATATCAGTAGCTTATACTCAGGAATTAGCATATCTTAAACAGGAATTAGATTTTTTAGATCAGATATTATGATATATTATTCAGAAATAAAATTTACTCAGTCAGGTTTAAGATAAAATTAGTCAGGAAACAGATGATAATAGTCAGGAGTTGTAATACCAATATAATTTGCAGTAATTAAATGTTTTGAAATTTATTATACCCAGGAATTACATTATGTTAGTCAGGAATTAGATAGTTCTTGTCAGAAAATAGATATGGATAGTCAGTTTAAAAATAATAATATTTAGATACATTATAACTCGTCAGGTTTAAGATAATATTAGTCAGATAATAGATAATAATATTCAGGAATAATAATATCAATATTTAGATAGAGTAATTAAATGTTTTAAGATTTATAACACTCAGGAATTAGCATATATTAGTCACGAATTAGACAATTATTGTCAAAAAATAGATATGGATAGTCAGTTTTAGGATAATAATATTCACATGTATTATAACTTAGTCAGGTTTAAGATAATATTAGTCAGAAAATAGATAATAATAGTCAGGAATTGTAATATTAATATTAAATACAATAATTATATGTTTTAAAATTTATAATACTCAGGAATTATCATATATTAGTCAGGAATAAAATAGTGCTGGTCAGAAAATAGATATTGATAGTCAGTTTTAGGTTAATAATATTCAGATATATGATAGTCAGGTTTAAAATAAAATTAGTCAGGAAATAAATTATCATAGTCAGGAATTGAAAAGAAAAGAAATAAAATTATTCAGGAAATAAATAATGATCGTAAGATTTTAAATAATGATAGTCAGTTTTAAAATAATTATAGTCAGATTTAAAATAATAATAGTCAGGCAGGGATACTAGATTTTTAAATGCAGTTAGAAATATTTTGAAATTTTCAGGAATTAGATTATTTTACTAATTTTGTTTAGGAAATAGGTTCTATTAATCAGGAATTATATTATCTGCAATTACATCAATAAATTACAGAGTATACTTTTACAGAACATTTAATTATCTGTATACGTATTATACTTGCAGCATCTTCATCTCTTTCTGCATCATCTCTTTCTTCATTTATATTTTCTTCTAGAATAACATTATCTGCTGCATTCATCATTAGTGTTAGTATATTTGAATTTCACTCTGAAATTATCAAAAAAATGGATTCAAATGAAAATTAATTTTCTGCGACAATTGTAGTTACATATTAAAACAGCTTTGCATGCAAATCATAAGTTGAAATTAAATTCGATCGAATACTATAGTAAACTTGATTTCAAAATGAATAGTTGAAATAAAATGTAATTGAAAATAAATTAGGCCTGATTTCAAATTATAAGTCGAAATTAACTACGATCTGAAATTCGATTGGCATTAATTGCAAATAATAAGTAGAAATTAACTCGAATTTAAATACGATCTGATATTAAATTGAAATTTAATACGATCTGAAATTCAATTTGTCTTGCATGCGAATTATAAGTCAAAATTCATATTTCAAAATCGGTATAATACAATCTGAAATCATGCGAATTATAAATCGAAATCAATATTATATGAAATTTGAAATTACATGCAATCAAAATTATGAATTAGATTGTACCTTTTTCAGCAGTAATTGAGCTGGAAATTGATTCTATAGGTGAATCAGAATCTCCTTCAATCATCATCCTATTGTTTGATTTCTCCATGTTTTTATGGAATTTGCAGATTTGAATTATACGAATTTTGCAGATTTGAATTTTATGAAATTTGGGGAAATGAAGTGGTTGAATTTCAGTGAATGACGGCGCTCGAAATTTTATGAAAATGATTAAAATGATTAAAATGACAAAATTCAGACAATTTATAAAATGGCGCGCGGGCTTTGGTCGGGTTGGTCAGGCCCGCGCCTTTTTAATTAATGAGCCCGGACTCACGTGAGTCCAGTCTCACGCAAAACATTTTGATAAAATTAATTGTTTGAATAAAACTTAAATTATACTTTTTCTACATTTTGTTTGAATTCACTGGGACTTGTACTTATAAGATATAGTAGTTCGTCTATTTCATAATAATTGCAACAATTCTCTTTTCACTCTTATCAATGTACTATTTCAATCGTTAATATCTTTAATTACCAATGCGTAAAAATTATAAAAATTTGATATTATGAAAGCATAAATCAAAACGAGTATAACAAGATCCCATGTGATTTTATTCCTCTAAACCTATAAATCACCAAAGCTAATCAAAGTAAGATATGTGATAGTGTAAAAGTCATACTGTTGCAAGTAAAAAGAAACAGAAAAAGTATGTATTTGTAATAAGTGAAATAAGCCTAACATAACGGGCTCCAAAAGCTACAAAATCCGTGTTTTGATAGAGGTTCTAGTTCTAGCTAATGTTGTTCAACCACTCTATCCCCCTAAAATTTATTCCTAGCTAAAGTTTAAATGTGTGAAAAGCAATTTTATTTCACACTCTAAAAATCAAATTGAATCAAAGTAATAATTAATTAGAAATTATTCAATGTAAAGTGGCTTTTTGGTAGAAACATATAACGGAGTGTCTAAAATTAACATTTAAAAAAGAAAAACTTTTGTGTAGTCTTTTACGTACTTAATTTATTTATTGGATCGGCTTTATAATGGCCAGCGTTAAAATTATTCTAATAAAACAAAGTCGTCGTTAGGGTCACATGCTTTACAATTTGACTTGTATATTGTATTATTATTTCCTTTAAATGCTAATTGTAATTTTCAAAGTCAATCCAAAAGTTAAAGACTCTTTGGGAGAGCTTGGTCAAACTTAGTTACGGAGTAATTACGACCTCCTCTCTAATGGAGGAACTATGGATATCAACTTCATTGTATAATTACAATGATTAATTAAAAAGAAGATCGAAACACCTTTTAATTAACATAGAATGTACATTTTAATTAAAACTTGTTAATTACCTGATTTTGCAATTAATTTGTGAATTCAAGTGAGGAATTGAACGTTTGCATAATAATTTGAATAACATGAGTGGAAATTTGGGTATTTATATATTGAATATACCTGATTTTTATTTTGTAATTAATTTGTGAATTCAAGTGAGGAATTGAGCATTTGCATAATAATTTGAAGAGCAGAAGTGGAAAAATGATAAAATTTGGGCAATTATATATTGAAAATAATCGAAGGACTATTGAGAGAAAGCATGCACGCGCTAAGAGAAGAAATTCTATTTTTTGGAGAGGTAGAGAAAGAAAAGAAATGCATTTATTTTTAAGGTTTAATCACAATGTTTTAGTTATGGATTTTTGCTTGGTTGATATTATGTAACATAGGGTTCAAGGTCGTACTCATGGCTTGAATAAACAAATTAAAAGGACACATCACAAATCACAATCTTAGGAACTACTCGTCCAATCTTATTTCCACACAACTTTGAGATAGCTAGACTCTCACTTAATCTTGTGAAGTGGATTCTCTATCTTGACATGATGACATAGAGTGTAGGCTGTGCAGCTGTGCTCATGCCCGAGAGTCTTGCTTGGTTAAGTCTTAAGGAAAAAATTAAAATTAATTAAGAATTAAGATGCATGCACATGGTCCGTTTCTTTTGGGCATAAATATAGCTTAACTCACTCTTTGAGAAAATTCTAATACTACCTACTAAAAGTGTCCCACTTTCACATCCTTTAAGTCCTAACTCTAAAAAAATCTTAAAAAAACGTCAAGTCGTGCAATTTCTACGTAAAAAATTCACAAAAATTACTCTACTTTCTTTCGTTGACCCGACCCGGTCAATACTCGTATGACTCAAATCTTCTATAAATCATGCATCATTTGTTCTCCTTCTTATACTTCACTTTCTATCATCTTAAATTTCCTACTCAACACTCCATTCATTTCCTCCACATCTAAGATTACTCTCTTTGTCCCTCTCTAGTAATCTAGTCTCTTCCCTTTTCTTCCACTCCTACGTAGGTGTTATCAAAAATATGCCGGAACCGCAAGTAAGTCTTCTTTAAATACATGATTATAATACTACTTTCGTGACATATTATTTGCAACGATTTGACATGAAGTAGAGGAGGAAAAATGTCTAATCGTTGCAAATAATATGTAACGGAGGTAATATAACATACATTGATACAGTACAATGTGATGTTAAGCTATTAGCATAGAGAATCATATGTTTAGAATTAATTAATTGTCGCGTGTAATAAGTTGATTGTATAATACGAGTAATTGTTAATGTTGTATTGATATTTTGTGTTCATTTTTATTTGTACTTCAGAAGGTGGTGTTGGCATTAGATGTACACGATGATAAGCAATGGAAGAAAAAGGTTTTGAAGATTGTCTCTTCAGTTCATGGTATTTGATAGTTTGACTTTTAATATTACTTTATAGATTTACGGAGCATTTAGCAAAGCTTGCTAGATATATCGTATACATGAGTACATCTTAAGAAAAAAGAATTTCACAAACTTAAATAATTAGCTTTTAAAATTAACTGTGTCATATATAATCTAGTATCTTTTGGATAGTGTAACGATCATTTCAATCCATAAAAAATAATTTAGAAAATATTTTTGTTAATTTTTAAATGTAATTCAATTTCGATCTCTTTTGGGGTGTATTAACAATTGAGGTAACCAAGGGTTTGTTCTCTTCAGATTATTTTCAGTTCAGTTCTTATCTTAATTCCCTTCTCTCATAAAACATTCAGTTCAGCTCTAATAAGTTCAGTTCATCTAAGTTCAATCAATCAGAACAAGCCCTAACTTTACTATTGCTTGAATTGTAGGAATTGATTCAATCTCATTGGACATGGAAAAGAAGAAGCTAACCCTAATAGGAAACATGGATCCATTGGAAGTGGTGAACAAATTAAGGAAGTCGTATTATACAACCATAGACACAATTGGACCTGCAAAAGAAGACAAAAAAGAAGAAAAAAAGGATCCTGAAATTGTCCCTATTGTTTACGATCCATTTTATTACCCTAGGTGTTACTGTATTTACTAGCTATCACACTTGTGTGTTACATGTACTAGCTAGGATATAATAAACGAGGTCATAGTTATTTTGTTATTATTTTATATTTTTTATTTGGTGTTTAGAGAGTCAGGCGGGGTGAGAATCGATCTCAAGATCTCATAAAATCGGGAAGGAAGCTCTAACCACTTGAATCATACTTCACTCTATGTTATTATATTTATGTATGTGGCCTTCAAAATTAAGAAAATATAGAGTTATTGTGATACTCATATTATAATACTATAATAATATGATAGTTTATATGAAGGTCGTGCTATCATTATTAGAGGATTTGGAGTTTATTAGTACTTCCTCCGATCTGGTTTTTTTAGTTGACATCATTTGACATTTAAATTATTTATACAATACACTTTGACTCGCTTTTGTGGTTTATAGATACGATAAAACATATTTTTGTAGGATTTTATTTGAATCGTTTCAATATATATTTTGTTGATATCTACTTTTTATAATTTTACAGTGTTAATAATAATTAGAGATATTAATCGTTAAAAACATGCGTTGACAAACATAATAATAGAAAAATATCGATTAAAAAAAAAAACAAAGGAAGTACTCGTATAATCGTATTAAAGATAAAGATGGTTGCATTTTAAAAACAAAAAACATTTATGTTTTTTTGATCTTATGATCGAGGGGCAAGACGTGTACGTAGGAGCTACCGAGCTAAGGTCACATGCCCCACATGCCCAAAGCCCCAAAACTTACGGATCATAATGTTGATAATTTGATATGAGTTTGGAAGAGACTATTTCCAAAATGGCCATAATCTTATTGACTTAATTGACTTTGAATTACTGATGAATTTGCATCAAAACTTCATAATGCCATAAAAAAAATAAAAAAATAAAAAAATAATAAGCAAATGAGATCGAATAAATCAAATTAAAATTTGAACTAAATGTCTGTTGAGTATAGCAATTTGGATTATTGTTGTTGATTTTTCTTAATTTTTTGTTGGAACGTTATTACATGATTCAATATTCTCATTTTTGTAGACTCTAGTACAAGTACTCAAGTAGACTAGTATGAGTCAATGACCATTTTTGGCGATTTTTTGTTGGAACGTTATTACATGATTTAAAATTTTAATTAAGATGTTGCGATTACTACCGAATCCCCATTAAACCCAATTATGATGTCATTATATCACTTTAACCCATAGTTAAAGCTCTTAACCATGGTCAAACATGGGTTAAAGGGATATAATGACATCATAGTTGGGTTTAATGGGGGTTCGGTAGTAATCGCAACATCTTAATTAAAATTTTGTGAGGTAGAAATTTACAAATTAGTATTAACTTGCGGTAGTAATTGGCAAATTACCCTCATTTCGAATCAAGTCTACATATATGTCACGTTTGAATCAAGTCTTTGGCTATTTTATATATATATATATTGAATACTTATTGAGTTTGTTCTTTGCGTATTTTAAAAATTTTACAAAAATTAAACCTTTTGCTTTTCAAATATATACTTTTTTTTTTTACATATTAGTAATGTGTTGGTGATTGACTTAGGATCTGTTCACATTTATTAAACTGAGCTGAAGCGAACTGAATTGAGCTGAAATGAATATTTTATGAGAGAGGGAAATTAGGAGCTGAACTGAACTGAATTGAATGAAATTAAACTGAACTGAACTGAAATTAAGTAAATATGAACAGGCCCTTAGACAATCAAATAGTCAACATCTTTGTTATAAGTGGTTGGGTGTTCGAATCTCCTTAACCTTATATTTTTATAGGGAGCAATGCTGGTTTTTTTTTTTTGGTAATGTGACATAATAGTTAAGATTGTTATAAATGACGTGGCGTCGTGAGATGTTGAGAAGCTAACGTAGCGTAATAAAAAAGGATCTACCACTACGTGAAAAAATGAATTTGGCACCGGTTCAAACCCGGCCTAAGGCACCGGTTTGAACCGGTGCCAATATGGGGGATGCCAAAAAGTGGTTTAAAAAGGCACCGGTTCAAACCGGTGCCAAAACTGGGTTAAAAAAATTATGGGATTGTTTTTGGCACCGGTTAACCGGTGTCAAAAGTGCCAAAAAATTATTTTTTTTGTTTAGAACATCAAATATCAAAAAATTGAACATCAAACATCAAACATCAAAAAATTAAAAATCGACCAAAATTATTTAGAACATCAAAATATAGATCGAATATCAATCAATATAATAAAAAATTTACAATATATAATAAAAAAAAAATTACAATATAGATCAATACAGTAGTTCAATTACAACATATAAAAAAAATTACAATATAAATAAAAAAAATAAACTCAATATTCGTGCATCTTAATTCTTCCATTTAAGATCTAACTCAAGATACCTGCACCAATTAAAGCAAAAAAAAAACGATTAATATAATTAAGTTTCGAAAAAAAAAAATTAAGATTCAAACCCAGAAAAAAATTGAAATCGCAAAAAAATTAAATCAAAAAATACCCAGAAATAAAAAAAAAACCCAGAAATGGAAATAAATTGAAATCAAAAAAAAATTGAAATCGAAAAAACCCAGATAAAAAATAAAAATTAAAAAACCCAGAAATCGAAAAACAAAAAATCAAAATCGAAAAAAAAAATATATTAAAATCGAAAAAACAAAAACAAAAATCGAAAAAAAAAATTCAAAATCAAACATAAGAAAAAATATAATCCAGAAATCGAAAAATAAAAAATCAAAATCGAAAACAAAATATATTAAAATCGAATAAACAAAAATCGAAAAAAAAATCAAAATTGAAAACGGAAAAAAAATAACCCAGAAATTGAAAAACAAAAAATCAAAATCGAAAACAAAATGTATTAAAATCGAATAAACAAGAAACAAAAATAAAAATAAAAAAAAAATCAAAATTGAATTCGGAAACAAAATAACCCAGAAATCGAAAACAAAAAAATCAAAATTGCTATCGAAATAAAAACCCAGAAATCGAAAAAAAAAATCAAAATCGAAAAAAATAAATTTATTAAAATCGAGTTAAAAAAACCAGAAATCGACAAAAATAAATCAAAATCGCAAAAAAAAAAAAAAAAAAAAAAACCTAAAGTGAAATCGGAAAAAAAAACCCAGAAATTGAGGGAGAAGGAGACGTGTTCGTGGTGTTGCATGTGCTCGTGGTGGTCTCCGTGGTGGTGTTCGTAGTGGTCTCCGTGGTGGGCTTGAAAGAGAAGGAGACGGAGACGTGGTAGTCTTGAGGGAGAAGGAGGAGATGAGAAAGGGAAGGAGGATATGAGAAAGACTGGTGAGCAAAAGAGGAGGAGAGGAGAAGAGGAGAGAGAAAGAGAAGGAAATAGGAGAAGATAGAAGCGGCGAGAATGAGAAATAGGGTTTGGGGGGTTTATATATGGGCGGGTTTTTTTTTTAATAATAAAGTTTAAGCGGTTTTTTTTTAATTAAGGACCGGTTCAATTGGCACCGGTTCAAACCGGTGCCCTTTTAGTTTTTGGCACCGGTTTGGTCTGAACCGGTGCCTTTTATATTTGTGTAAAATGGCACCCAAATTTGGGCCGGTTTAGGACACCGGTTTGGCCTGAACCAGTGCCTTTATGGGGGTGTCTTATTGTATTTTTCTACTAGTGTACGTGGCACAATGGACATTGACGTTCTTAGGTACACCTTTTAATATATAGTATGGATAAAAAAAAATAGAAACATGATTTATATAAAGATTCGAACCCTTGATCTCAAGGTCAATTAATAAAAACTTAACCATTGAACTATGTCTTAGGGCCTGTTCATATTTACTGAACTGAACTGAATTGATTATAGCTGAACTGAACTGATTGAAGCTGAACTGAACTGAAAAATTAAAATGCATAGAACTGAACTGAACTGAACTGATTAGAGCTGAACTGAACTGAACTGATTGGAGCTGAACTGAACTGAAAATAAGTAAATATGAACAGACCCTTAATATGTGTCTTTAATAGCAAGAAAATAACTACTTGTATAAAACATGTCTTACAGTAATGTGTATATTTAATACCACTCACAATTATTGTACTATGTAATAAATCGGGACATTGCCCAAGCCTAAAAACTAGTTATCCATTAAAAAATCGATTTTTTATACTCCCTCCGTCTCTTTATTAGAATCCCCATTCTTATTTTTCATGGGAATTAAGGTTTTTGGTAGATTCCTTAAACAAGTACCAAATTATTTTACTCACTAATTTTCACCTTATTGGAAATTAATTATTCGTGGTGACAAATTAACTAAATTGGTACGATATAAAACTTAACGCTTCTTTCCCAAATTTGGTTGGAAAGTTGTTACTACTAGATTAGATCCCGTGTCATGCACGGTTTTTCACACTTCGTTACAGAATATCAATTTTAAACTACATTTAAATATAAAAATAATGGTCTAAAATTTATTTTTAATGTTATCCCAAATCAAGCAACATAATATACTACTATTATTTTTTTGGGAAATTCTACGTGGCGGCCTCCAACTTTTACAAATTCTATATGGTGTCAAAAAAAAAAACACATAATCTCTAGTGAACCCAAACTTTCATTAAACTCTATTTAGTGGCCAAATCTCACTTAGAGTCGGTTAACCACTCAGTTAGGGTTAGATTATTAACTCTAATCAAGTGAATTACTAACCTACTCCCATTTAAATCATATCCACCTTTTTATTTCAACTGATTATATTAAAACCATTGCAGGCTCTTAAAATCCTCCCCTTTTCTTCGATAAATTAGGGTTCTTTAAAAAAAAAAATCTGACTTCCTAAATTTGCAATTGATTTAATTGGTTTTCAAGCAATTGGTTCAAGGTCCAAATCCACCATTACAAAAACAAAGAGCTTCAATTTCTGATCGCCTTCAATCGCCGACTAGTCCCCTGTTCTTATGCTCAAACGACGACAAACTTGAACGCGCTCAAGCCCGTGCCGCACGCGCTGCCGCCGTTCGCCGTAAACTCGCCTGAGGTGATCTATTTCTGCTATATATCTGAAATTCTAGTGTTTTTGGGTAATTTCTGGTTTCTGCTTGGATTGGTGTAGTTTAATTTTTTTGATTCTATTAAACTGCAATTTGTGAAATTCAATTGCCCTTTTTTGTAATGATTTATGGGATTTTTATTTTTTTTGCTTGGATTGGTGTAGCTTAATGTACTGGTGAAATTCTCTTTCATATCATGTTACTTTGCTTGATTTTTGAGTAGATTTTTTTTTTAAAAAAATCCCAGAAATCATTACATGAATTTTATTAAAGATGCTGGATTTCTGTAACTAATTTATTGTTTAGGGGAATTATGTTGGAAGTTAAGGAATTATGCTCATGTCAAGAACTAAAAATTAGATTAAGATAGTTGCCCCCCTGATGATCGAACCTATAATACGATCATTAGAGGTTATATACTCAATAATGACTTGTCAAATGCATTATACTATTGTGATCTTATGGTTGGGAAAAGATTTGAAGCTGATGCAGACACTTTGTCATTGTTTGTTGGCCTCTTGTCTTCTGATAAATTAAGTGACTCAAACAAGAATTTGCTATCGAAGTTTATCAGCTGAATTTCAGTTAAAATGTATGCAAAGATTTTGGACCTTGAATATGTTTTCTGCAGAGAAAATTGAGATGGAGTAGGATGCTCCTAGACAATCTATGAATAACAGACCGCTTTTAGCTCCAATTGGCATGTTTCTTGTGAGCTTTGGTGCAGAGATCACCAAAGAACAATGATATCTTGTTTGTATCCAGATGCTTCACTACTTGGTTTTGTAAATATTTCTGTACTTTAATGTATATATTATGCTCCTTTACTTTGTTGTTAACAATGTAATGCCCTGAGAGGTTCATTTGCAAAAAAAAAAAAAAAAAAAAAAAAAAAAAAAAAAAAAAAAAAAAAAAAAAGAACTAAAAATTAGATTATTTTTCAAGGCTATTAGCTCAACGGGTAGAGCAATGTACAGTAGTGTACATGGTGTGGGTTCAAGCCCCGCATAGCCTACATAACACTCCTAGAGTGATCAAAGTTGATGCTAATATTCCCACCCATGGCATATCTTAGAGTAAAGCAAATGGATTGTATATAAAAGGTTTAATCAACATTAGAACCATACTCATTACCTCATAAGCACACTGAAGCTTCTTAAACGACTCACTTGCTTGTGGACTACCCATATTTTTATCAGGACACACTAGCACAGAAAGATAAAAGTGCCAAAAAATTTATCCTTTTGTTAGCACGTATATCCATTCTGCATATTGTTGCAACAGAAAGATGCATAAATAACATGAAATATTCGGCAATTTATAAGAGCCCATTGCTCAGCACTTCGGCATGAAAAGTTTACTGATCTTACTACATAAGGACAGCCATCTTTGGCATTTAATTGCATTAAAGCCATTTAGCTGGAAGGTAGTCACATGTATACAGCAGCAGATCTGGCTGGACTATCACTAAAGTGAATGTATGTAGAAGTTCAGGAATCAAAGCAACACAAGATTAAAAGTAGATAGCAGCAGTCTGACAAATGCCAATTGATGCATAAAAAAATGTTTCAGAAAAAAAAGAAAAAAAAAACATCAAATCTAGTACATAAGTTGACCTTTATTTACTACTAAATAAAAGATACTCATGTTGAAAAAACCAGACCCCAGGCTACATTTTCTCTTTCCCTTTGTTGTTGTTCCTTGGCTTGGACTGAGATGGCTGAGAAACTGGCTCTGGTTGGGAAGAAGATATAGTTAAGCTTCGTGTAACATTAGCAGTGGTTGGCTGGGATGCAGAGGCAGCACCAGTTGTCTTTTGTTTTTTCTCGGTACCGTGTGATGCTTTCTCCTTTGCCGTCATACCACCTTTGCATGTTTGCTTGTTATGGCCATATGATTTACAGAGTGAGCATTTGACTGTGGTTGACCTTTTTTCTTTATCTGGTTCATCATCAGCTCTTCTTCTCTGTCTTGATGGTCTTCCTATTCCTCTCCTCATTGTAGGAGCTTGAATTGTTGGCTGGTCAATTTCTGGCCAATGCTCAATGTCTGGAATTGAGTTGATGGCATGTGAATAACATTGTTTGTAGGCTGCAACTGAGTACCATGTGCTAACATACTTATGAGGATCATGTCCTGCAGCTAGTATAGCCCTTAATGCATGCCAACAAGGGATGCCTGAAATTTGCCAAGCCCCACATATACAACTTCTATTATTGAGTGACACCGGGAGAATTGACTTACCCTCTCTTATTTCATATTCTCCCTCTTTACTCTGGAATGCCTTGCAAGTTCTAGAAGCATTGATCAGCATTTGGATTCTCCTTACAATGGTAGGACATGGATCAAAATCATTCCAATCTTTACATTTCTGTCTTCTACTTGACATCCTTACCATACACATTCTTCGTATGCCTGCAAAAACCACATATAACCAAGCATACAATTCAACATAAGAACCAAGTTATATTTACAAAAATAATTATAAAGATTAAGAAAGACATAAATTTTTACCTTCCAAAAGAGTCAGAACAAGTCTGCATCTGTCCACTCCTAAAGTGGCATTGAAACTCTCCACAAAGTTTGTTTTATTCTCATCTGTGCATATCTTTGGGTCAAACTTGTGTCTTGACCACCTCTCTTGATCTCCTAGATTAGCTAACCATATTAGTGCCAAGTGGTTTGTCTTCTGAATTCTTTTCATAGCCTTTTTAAAGGTGAATGTTGAAGTAGCACTACATGCCAACCAAAATAAGGAGTGCATCAAGGGTCCTGGAAAAGCTGATTTCCAATTTTTAGCTAAGTGCTTGCAGCAATACCTCCTCCCTACTTTTGGCCATAGCTCAGTTAAAGCAAGATCTATTCCCTACAAGAACACATAATGAAGAAATTAACACATCATTCCCACCATTGATCTCCCTAAGAGCAATACTCCTCATTTTATAGAGAGTACTAGTGGCCATCTGCACCCCATACCTGGTCCACAACAAGTCATTCAAAGTTTTCCCAGTTATATCATTGTTTGCCCTTATATCATCAATTAGCTTACTTGCAGCCCATTTCACATTAACTAAAGGATTCCTCTCATCCAAACCCCTACAACTGTGCTCTTGATCTTTTATACTCTTTATGGCCCAAGTAGTGCCATCAGGGAGTACATTTGAATGTATCCTCCAATTACAGTTCAATTCCAAGCACTGAGCAGTGAATCTAGCTGGACTAGATCTATCCACTACAATGGCAAACCCAGATTGTATACAATAATCACTTAGAACAGATAGGAAATGTGCTTTATCAGTAAATATCATCCATGGTTTCAAAACAATACTTCCAAACTCAACATTTTCAACAAATTCTCCATTCTTATACATTTTACTGACATAAGTGTCATCATCAAGTAGTTCAGTTTGCCATACATCAGATGCATAAGCATCATAATTGTCAATGATCTCACCAAATTCCTGATCTTCTTCATCTGAGACGCCACCTCTTTCAAAATCTATGTCTAAATCTTCATCTCCAATGTTAGCATTCATTTCTGGCCGTAAAGTTTCTCTATGCTCAAACCTCCTATTAAACTCCTCTTCGGTAATCACTTGTGCCTCTTTTTCATATGGTTTGTTCATCAAGCCCTTCCTAGCAGCAGTAGTCTTAGGTATTTTATGAATAATCAAGGCTGTGTTGTTTGATGAGGTTGGATTCAGGGTAGTTTTTTCAAGCAAAGGAGCATTGGAAAAAGTAGTAGTGTCAGCTAGAGTAAGTGGCTCATTAGTAGGTAAACTCCTTTGAACAGGTAACTTAACCCTAGGCTTAGGATTGCCCCCTCCCCCCTTTCCCTTCTTTTTAAGTGTCTTACATCCACTCGCTTCCTCTTCCATTCTTTCCCAATTGTCTATAAGTGTTTCATTTAACCTAGGTGGACTAACATCAGGCATGTCACTAGTCCCAACATCAAAGCTTTGGTTGTTTTTCTTAGGTGGACTTAGACCATAATGCATATTGGGTTTGTTTTTCAATGACTCTTTAAGATTCCTAGCTGCAACTACACATTCAGAAGGTGTTTCAACTGAACCCACATACACTGTAATCACTTTCTTACTTCCTCCTATTCTATCTAACATAGACATTAAATCACTGTCACTAGTAATTTTAACATCCTTCTTATTATAACAGTAATGGAAACTAGGATATTTAGGCATCATATACGCATTTTTCCTAAACAATTCCTCATACTCAATAATCAAATCAATCCACATTACTTTATCAACATCATCAACATTAATATCAACCACATTCTCTGCCGTTTGAAATTTTAACACAATTGAGTCCATTCTGCAACATTAAACCAAACACACAAAAATTCCAAATAAATCAAGGGAATGCTCAATAAAATTCTCAAAACTAAGCTAGCTGCAAATCGCACAAAAAAAAAAACCAAAAAAATGCTGCAAATCGCACAAAAAAAAATTAAAAAAAAAAACAGAGTAACCAGATAATTTAGCATGCATATATGAGCAAAATTCAAAATTTATTGAAAATATCTTCAACTGATTACCTGGAAGATGTTTACCACATTAATGTTCAGTCGCAAACCGTTATTTTGCAATGAATCCAACAGCAAACCCTAGCCGTCGATTTGAATACTCAATTGCAAAATTGCCAAAAAATACAACACAAAACAGAGAGAACTTTGTGCAAAATCTGTAAATAATCAATTTACGTTCTTAAAATTTGCTCAATTTCAACGAGTTTGAAGTGTTGTTATAGATTGCACTTTGAATTTTAGGGAAGAAGATGAACATGTATATGAAATAATAGGGCAGTGGAAGAAGATGAACAGAGAGATCATCAGTGCGTGAAATATAGTCAGCATTAATGAAATAAGAGGAAAGGATTAGAAATAGGGGTATGTTAGTAAATTCATAAATTAGAGTTAATAAAGTCAGCATTAGTGAGTGGTTAACCGATTCTAAGTGAGATTTGGCCACTAAATAGAATTTAATCAAAGTTTGGGTTCACTAGAGATTATGTGTTTTTTTTTTACACCATATAGAATTTGTAAAAGTTGGAGGCCGCCACGTAGAATTTTCCTATTTTTTTTTATGACTACATATTATAATTCAAACTTACTTTTTTATACTTTTCACATTTTTAAAAAAAAATCATTTGATAATTATGTAAGGTTGAAAGATTATATTTATGATTTTTTTACTAATAAATAATTTTTTTTTTTGAACGGGAAGAATAATATCATTAAATAAAAGCCATACGACATCTACAATAATAAGGATCTGTAAACCACAGATTTAGAGAAAATATCATAACTTTTGCAATCAAAATCATAACTAATTTGCATATTTGGCATAGCTCATACTCCACCGCTTCAAGCTTGACGCGAGCAATGATTTTCGATGTCTTTGCATCTTTCCAAGTTGAGACCTCCGCAATCTGCGCTGTTGTTTTGATCGATCGGTTGATGACAAATCCCAGACCCATAGGAATCCAAATCACCTTCCCAATTATTATAAGAACCCTAAAAATAAAATTCTCATCCATAGATGAGAATCAATCCCAGAAAATTGTGAAAAACCCAGAAAATTAGGACAGACTCTCACAGATGGAGAGAACAAAACAAAACAAATAAACCAAACAAAACAAAAAACTAAATTGAATTAAAGAAAAAGGGTCAGAAATAGTCTAATTTCCGAAGAAATTAGACTATTTCCGGCCTAAACAGCCAAGAAAATTAAAACCCTAGAAGAGAGAGGAGAAAGAGGAGAAAGGAGAGAGAAGAGAGAAAAAGGGGCGGCTCTACTAATAAATAATAATTATACACATTAAAAAACAATTACTTATATAGAAATAGAATGATATGATTAGATATCTAAGTTAGTAAATATATTATTTTACGATTGTTTTTCTAAATTTTGAAAGAAATATTTTGCTTATATTCAATATACTAAGGACACACCAGAAGATGACATGTGTCATTGCTGGTGTGTCTTTAAGTATATAATGATTAAACACAAATAACTTAAATTTATGTGATGACAATTGAGTATAAATTTTAGATTCATTGGGATCAGGAGTACTCCCTCTTAAAAAAAACATTTAAAAAAAAAAGATCATGAGTACTTGTGTAAAACTTTGATTCATGCAACATTTAGCTAATTATTACCAAACCTAGCACAACAAAATAGAGCTAGTAAAGGTTGACACGATACGAATCAAACACGAAAAAATTGAATTAATGTAAAGGATTTACACCACATTTAATTAAATGGGTCGACACAATACAATATGTTTAGTTAAACAGATCAAGTTAGGGTTTATTCTCATACGTTTATAACTTTATTTTCAGTTCAGTTCAGCTCAACTGAGTTCAGTCAATGAGAACAGACCCTTAGTGTTGAAAGTTCCAACACAAAACATACCACTTTAAAAAAATAACCAGCAATTTATGAAATTTATTATTGATATTTTGAATTGGACATATTTACTTACAGCATGACAACACGATACCTGTCAAAAAAATGACAACATGAGACAAACCAAATTCGAAAAAATTAGTCTCAAGGGTTTCCGATGTGATTAGAAAAACGAGTCAACACAACATGACACATTTATTATTAAACGGGTCAGATTAGTGTTGAGTTTCTCCAACCATTTACAGTAACTTTAAATACGAACATAAGAATGACATGACACCTTTGCCAGCTCTACACTAAGCAAGGACTTGAAACATGATAATTTGTCAAAGTGGAGCAACTTGCCACTATTAGAGCCCCAAGGGGTATGGCCCAATACTTAATCACGTATTTAACTGTATGATAGAGTGGCAAATTGACCCATTTTGCTGAATGACACATTGGGCTATACACCTTCATTTTAATTATTAAGTCCAACAAAGCCAATATTTAATTACTTCGTACATAAAATCAATACTAGCCTGGCCTACTAGTAACTAAATTCTACCCTGGTGTATTTTGGTTGGCATCGTCAAGGATATAAGTAAAACTAGACAAATTGACCCAACTCAATGTCTCAAACAAATCATGACCCAAATGATTTGACCCAAACTCAATTACTACCAATTTACTATAAGCGGATGACCCAATATTTACCCTAATCTGATTTAGTTTGACAAAAAATTAAATCCGCCGTTAAATTTAACATACTTTATGCCTAAACAATCATATATTGTCCAAAATATACTCTAATATTTATTATACAAGCATTCTTGATGATCCAAAGCCTATTAAATTCTAACTAATCCAAATTTGAGCCTAATCAAGTCACGATTGTGAGGAAAACTCTCCCAACTAGTGTTGTTGCATTCTCAATTATCGACCTCAAAAGCTTGGTTAAGGGTCTATTCTGATTTACTGAATTGAAATGAGCTGAGCTGAGTTGAACTGAACTGAACTAAACTAAACTAAACTAAACTAAACTGAATTGTTTATGAGAAAAAGGAGGAACTAAACTAAACTAAATTGAAATTAAGCCGAAGATAACAGGCTAAGTTAGAAAAACTCCTTAACTAGTTGATCCAAACATTTATAAATATCATACTCTAATATCACCTGACCTAATTTATTTACAAACCAAACCAAAAGACTCATCAACAACATACAATTGGAATGGAATGAATCCAAACAACACATTCCATTTACCAAAATTTGACATAAAAGTCATTAATTGTAAGCATAAAAAATGATGGTGTAAAGGATTAATATAAGGAAAGAAGAAAGAGAGATTGTGGTCAGTGAAGATTGAATTTGCATGGATATGGTCCACAATAATAATCCTAAGGTTTATACACACGTAATTGGCATTATATTCAACATAGTGACCTAATTTTAACATAATAATCTTTATTACTCTCTTCGTGTTTTAATAAGTGTTACACTTACCAAATCCGGTCATGTTTAAATAAGTGTTACGCTTCTTTTTTTTTTGGCAAAAAGCTACCTTTAAATATTATATTTCTCTCCTCTCATGGTCCTCACCCAAACCCACTATTACTTTGCTTATTATATACTTCCTCTCACATTCATTACTTTTCAATAAACTATTAACCCTCGATCTTTCTTTTACAACTTTTTAATACTCCAAGTACCCCACTTACCTATTATTTTATTTAAGTCAATTAAATTGCCTACAACTATGTGTCGTGGTTAAACTGTAACACTTAGGCCCTGTTTGATTCACCTTAATTTTGCTGAACTGAAATTATTTTTACTGAACTGAACTTATTTTTACTGAACTGAAATTATTTT